GGGAGACTGTGGGCAGGGCAGGCAGGGTGCTGGCGTGGGGTTTCTGGGAGCACCGACGGGTTCTCTGCAGCGCTGCCCCTTGGCAAGTGCCTCTCCTGCCGCGTGGGCTGGCAGGGCTGCAGCCCTTGCATTCATAGCTCAGCCTGAAAGATGTCAAAATGGCTTTGGTCTGTTCCCATCAGTTAATTGCTTTGCTCCTGGGAAGCTGCTAGGGATAAGTGATGGTTGGTTTAATGACAGTTGTTTGGCAGAGTCTTAGGAGAAGTCCTTGCAGCTTGCTTAAAGTCGTGCTCCTTGGCGGCGGGGCTCAGGATTGCTGGGGGTCTGGCAGGTTCAGGGGGACGAGCTCTTGCACGCTCAGCCCTCGTTAATCTTTCCCTGGGGGTAGCAGCCTTGCCATTCGAGCTGCTGCGATTGAAATCATGTGATCTGAAGATTCAGAGGGTAAAAAGTACTCTCAGTTCTACAGCGGAATTATTCTTCAGCTTACTGCCTGGCAAACCCTACTGCTAACAATTTTGGGGGTTGTAGCTGCTGGTGTTAAAGCTGAGCGAGGTCTCCAAAGCAGCTGAGTCCCCGGTGCTGCTGAGACTGCTGCTTGAAAGCAGGAGAGGGGAGAGCCAGCGTCTTGCGCTGCAGGGCACCTCGGCACTCCAGCGGCGGTGGCTTTATTAAATAAACAGATTGCATCCCTTGACACCGAGGCGTGGGTATTTCTGGGTCTCTCCTGGGCGTAAGGATCTGTACGTGCCAGGGAAGCGGGGAGTCCCACACACGACCACAACCTCTCCCCGGTGCTGCTCTCGGCTCGGGTCTGGCAGCAGGTGCCCCTGCGGTCCCGGCGACGTCCTGCCGGCTGTGGCGTGACCTGTGGCCACCACCTTGTCTTTTCAGGTGACTGCTTGCAGAAACCCCGGCTGATGAAGCCGGTCACCTGCTATCTGGAGAGGCTGTCCGTCCAGCTGTACCCTTCCCTGGAGGAATTCGAGGAAGAACTGCTGGACTTACTGAACAGCGATCGCTTACTTAAGGTGGTGCTGGTGCAGTTACGGCAGGGGAGAGCACAGTGCGCAAGCAGCAATGCTGGTGCTTTGTTTTCGGGCAGAGGGGAAAGGTTCAGAGAAATGGTGCTCGGGTATTTGTTTCACTTGGAGTCCCTGTTCGGTTTTTTTTCATTGTGTGTTGGTTTTTTTTTTTTTGCTGTGCAAGCCTTTTGTTTTACTGCTGGATTAGCGCACAGGTGCTCCGTGTTGGGTTTGCAAAGATAAGATGCAGTGCTCATCGTAGTACATCTCTTTAGGAACAGCAGCGCTTGGTGTGCAGTAAGGACCGCTGGCCAAGTCCTTCTTTATTTGCCAGATTTGCACCAACTCTGCCATAAAGATGAAAGATTTTAATATCCATCAGCTGCTGGGGGGTGGGTCCCGTTTTTTTGAGTTTGCCTGAATTTCCCTGGCCGCAGGCGGCACAGGGAGGTATGCTGAGCCACCCCGTGCAGCCTCACTGCCTGAGCTGCAGAACTTGTCTGTCGCAGGCTAACGCTGCGCCGGATGGCAATGGGGTGGTGGTTCGGGAGCGGCGGCTGCACGTCGGCGTCCACAACGGCCTGCGCTTCATCCAGGTGCCGCAGGTGGCTGTGCTGGTGCCGGAGGCAGAGGCGGCACGGGGCGGCTGCCCGGGGGTGCTGGGCTCCGGAGCCAGGTAAGGGGGAGACCTTCCGGCACCGCCCGTGCCGCTCTCCTCCCGCCTCGGCCGCTGCCCACAGCCGCTTCTCCATCCTGGTGCAGGGGTGCAGGTCAAGCCCTGGTCCTGAGGAGCCGCATCCACCTGAGTGAAATGGTCCCCCACCCGGCATTTGGGGTCTGCTTCCAGCTGGAGTACGTCTTCTGCGCCTCGGAGAGAGCCGACGGGAAGGTAGGGCTGCCTGTGCGTGCACCTCGTCTCCATCCCTTATTACAGAGTGGAGATGCGCCGCTGCGGCAGCGAGCCCTGCCGAGTAACTCTGTCCTCTGCCCCCGCTTTGCCGTCCCGCACCCCCAAGATGCAGCAGCTCCGCGTCACGCAGCCGCGCTGCCCCGCAAACGGCCCTGCAAAGCGTCCTGGTGCTTTCCGCAGCGCTGCGCAAAATATCCCGCAAAGGGGCTTATTGAACCGTTTTAATTACATGTGGTTACGTTTCTCCACCGGGTGTATGTATATGGAGAAATGCAGCCTGCAGCTGTCCCATGGTGTTGTGGCAAGCTAATTTGGAAAATCTCAGCTTTTTTTAAATTAAAAAGGCTTTTCTTTCAAATTTAGCATTTATGCCAAAAAGAAGTTAACCCCTCCCACTCTTTTCTTTTTTTTCCTGAATGCTGAGGTTTTTCTGGGAGCTTCAGCCTGATGTTCTCCGGACCTTAAAGCCAGAAGCCTCTGTATTGACTGCAGAGACCATGCTCACTAATGCCTACTTACCTGTCATTTACACGTATTTCAGTTTAACCTTTCCGCAGGTTAAAGCCAGCTTAGCGAGCAGTTCAGTGTCCCCTCCAGAGACCCTTTGCTGCTGGAGCCCTTAGTGTGGCTGAATGGATGGCCAGGGGTTCGTTAGGAGGCCCTAATCCTCCTGCTAAGATGCTCATTGAAAATGCAGCCAGTGTCCTCTCTTGTTAGAGCTGTCCAGAGCAAAACTGGGGGGAAAATGGGTATTTATAAAGTGGGACATGGGTGCCAGGCCAGAGGGATTTGTACTGAGGGGGGGGAGGAGAAGCTGAGCCTTGCTGTCAGAAATTGTGTTGGGTTCAACTCCTTTAAAAAGCTGAAACCCAAGGACCCGTGGAGATCGGGGGCACCAGACACAGATCCGTTTGGCTGTGCTGGGTGCCGGGAGCGCTGGCCAGGGCAGCGGTGGAGCTGGTTCCTGCGGCACAGCCCTTGGGCAGAGCAGTTAATCCCAAAGCCGCTTGCCGAGTTGATCACCTTGTCCTCTGTGCCATAATTAGCAGGCTGTGAGGGTGCTCGTGGGCGCTAGTAGAGACCTCTTGGTTTGCTTCTGTGCCTCTCCTGCTGTTTAAGGGGAGGCCGTGGATGCGCCTGGGTAAGTGGAAGCCTTTAGGCTGCCTTTCCCGTCTGGGAGGGATGCGGGGTCAAACATACATCCCTTAACGCAGCTGCTTGAGTCTGGGGGTTACAGCCCTTTGGCGGGGTGCTGGTGTCTTTGTCTTGGCCTCCATGTGCTAAAGACATACAAGGGATGAAAACCCTGTTATTTTTGAAAAGCATTATATTGTGCTTTTATATCATATCAGCTTCGTATTATGCTGATCCATAATCTAGAGGTGTAGTCCCGTGCGTAACTTGGTGAAGGGGTGAGGTGGGATTACCTGGCGTGCGGGTGCCCGATGTCCTGCAAGTGCAGCCTGCAGGAAGGGGAACGGGGTCAGCCGTGGGCTGGGTAAACGGGGAAAGTGCAGGAAAAACCAACGGGTACCCGTCTGGGAAGGGTGGTACGGGGCTTACAGGGAGAAAGTGGGGTTCATACCTGCATGCAGCCTGGCCCTGAGTCTGTGGTCAGCCTTGAGGAGGTGAAATCGCATAGGAAGGTGCCAGTTCTGCATGTGGCGCTGCTGGCAGAGGGGAGAGAAGCAAACCTTGAAACCGTGCAGGCTGGCTCAGTGCTCTTTCACTGAGAGGTCAAGGTCTTGTGATCCCAGGTCCCCTCCCTGGGACCAACGTGTCCCTGTCCATCAGAGAAGCATTCCTGGTGCTCCTCAGAGCTGGCAAAGGGATGGGAGCAGAAAGATGTGGTTGGTGAGGGGGAAAAATGGGTGCTGGAAAATGGAATGTCTCCAGAATGGGTTGAAGGGGAGCGGTTTCTGTGACGCCGGGCGCGGGAAGGCGTGGTGGGAGATCAGAGCCTGCGTCTGTCCGGCGGCACCCGCTCCCCCATCCCGGCGGTGAGGTGGGGGTGCCTGGCGCCCACCGTGCTCCCCCTGCTCTTCCCCAGGCCCTGCCCGGCAGCGCCAGCGGCGAGGCGGCTGACATGCGCTCGGTGCGCTGGGCCGTCTGGAGCCCCGTCCTGGACGCCGGTGAGGCAGATGTGGTTCTGCCCCTGCGTGGCGGCGCCCGCCGTGGCCCCTGCCAAACCCTGGTCTACCGGACCCCGCCGAGCAGCAGGAGCTCCCGCCGGGTAAGGGCTTCCTTCTGCATGGCAAATACACGGGGATGTGGCTGGTGCTTGGACAGCTTTGCCATTAGAGAGGCTCTTTGCTGAAACCTTTGTAAGTGCCCAGGCGGTGGAGAAGCTCTCTGCAGATCTGCGAGTGAGCGAGGAGGCATGGGAAGAGGAGGGGGGCAGCCCCCTGCCAGCACACCCCGACGCTGATAGGTGGTGCGCTTGGTGTCCAGCGCTGCTCAACTTCAGTTACTGCAAACGCGCAGCCTGAGCTGTCGCATAGTTGGTCAACGCCGTTATTTGTCGCGGTAATTCCTGGAGGCTGCTGTGACCTGAGCCAGTTCATTCTGGGTGATCTCGCTCCCAAGCGTTTGTCAGCAAAAGGAGGTTGGGGCTGGGGCGAAGGAGTCACGGGGTGGTGGCCAAAATACAGCCGTGGTGCTAAGCTGCGTGGGTTGCTCTCTGCCACAGGCAAGGACGGACGGACGGACGGGCGGGTGGGTGGGTGTCTGCAGGACTTGCTCTGTAAAGTCTGATACTGGGGGGCAGTGGGTGGCGTTGGCGGGTGCGCGTGTCCGTCTCTGCAAGGACGGAGGTATTTGATCAGCTTAGGAAAGCACCACCCCTTGCTGGCTCTGCCTCCGGCTTGCGCCACCGTTTCTCTGGCTGCGGGGCAAGGGAATCGTCTCAGGGGTAGTCTGCATGTAGCAGGCTGTCTAAAAGTATTTAATTTCCAATTTCAGGGGAAGCATGTGGAGTCTGGGACTGTCCAATTCCATGTTTCCACTGATTTGGAAGAACATCTTGTAACTGCTGCAGAGATCCTACGTAAAGACAGGGACGAGTCAGAGAAGCCTCCTACGCCATCGCTGAGTGAGTGTTTTCCAGATCGCTGACATTTAAAATATAGAGTGTGACACTGGTGTCTGCTCAGAAGAAAAAAAAACACGACTTCGCCGAGTTTCAGTGAGCTAGTTTATGAATTACCAGAGTGAACCAAGTTTCCATCGAGTTGAATTCAGCTCTCACTTTTTAACTTGCAAAACTCCCCTGTGATAGTAGCACTGAGCCACGTGCACCGTCGCCAGGGATTTCCAGCACGGCACCAGCCCGCTCCCATTTTGGGTCACTCTGATGGCATTTGGGCTCTCGTGCTCAGCACCCAGAAGACCTGGCAGGGTGCAGCAGCTGCACCAGCGGTGCATTGCTCGCGTTGCTCCCCACCAGGGCAACCCAGCTTGTCTCTCTGGACTCTGAATCCTTCCAGGCATTGAGGAGAGCAGGGATGTCGATTATAGGCTGAGGTAAAAAACCAACGGTCTTGTTGCACTGCCGCTCGGGGAGCACGACAGCAGCGCCCATTTGATCGGCACGCACGGGCTGTGCCAGCGCCTCGCCGGGGAAAGCCAGGCTGTGTGTGCATGTACGCACCTACCTATAGTGCAGGGGTGCCCGGTGGTCGGGGCTTCGGTGCCCATCTGCTGCGTGTTGGAGGCAGAAAGAAAACTGCCCTTGGCTTGGGTTTGGACGCGGAGTTGAGTCAATGCCCCGGGCTCCTGGAAATCCTCTCCTGCTTGTTTCTGTCGGCTTTGCCTTTTGTGATCGGTGGGAAACAAACTCCCCTTTCCTCTCCAGTGTTGCTCCTGCTGCGGTTCCCGTGCAGGTCTTGGTGCGATGCTCCAGGTACCTAACAGCGTTTGTGTTTTACAAGCTTACTGGCCCCTCCGGTGAGCTGGTAGCCGCCAGCCGGCGGGTCGGGGCGATGCCCGGCGTGGTGGGTGCGTCTGGGCACCCGCTCCGGCGCCTTCCACGAGATGGCAGTGGCACCATGGCTTTGCCGCAGCACGCGGGCGGGCAGCTGGGTTTGCTGGTGTACGGGGCTTTGGAGCAGAGATCTTCGCGGGTGGAATGAGAGGCCTGGCAGCGTTGGGGGTGCGCTGGGTTAGGCGCTCTGCGACACAGCTGCATTGCTGCTGGCACCTTCCTGGCCCTGCTTGCAAGGTTTTCCTGGATGCCTTTCACCTGGCAGCGGCCAGGGCGTTGAGGGAGTTGCAGTGCGGTGAAGGGAGAAGCGAGCGCGTGCCGATGGCGAGCTTGCGGCCCCGCGCTGGGCTGGCGCGCTGCGGCTTGAGGGGAGCATGCTGGAGTGCGGCGGGGTGCCTGCGAGGGGGATGCCCCGGCAGGCTGGTTTTGGGGTGTGAGCTGTGTGGTGTTTCCCTGGCACCGGGGGGAGCTTGAGAAGCACGGCAGCGGTCCTGGAACCGTGCTGTGAGGTGAGCAGCCACATGCCAGAGCCAGCCCATGCCCCGAGCTGCTGAAAAGAGCATTTTGTTAACTTTTGGTAGTGCTCCGTTGGAAAAACGAGCTGCTGTCTGGTCCTTTTTGCCAGGGGAGGCTGAGCGCATCTTCTGTCGGCTCCGCTGCTGGTGGTGCTGCAGGTTCTGTCCACCAACGGCCAAAGCCATCCTAACTGAGAGAAAACAGTATTTTAGATGTAAGGGAGACAGGGTGCTTTTCTTTGTACAGCAGTCAGTGTGAAATAACTGGGATATACATGGTGGTGAAAGCAAAATAAGGTCTCAGCATCACGTGGATGCAGAGATAGAACATCTGTGCCCCTGGTCTGCTCCGAAGGACCCACAGCTCAGCGGCACGGTGAGCTGAGCAGCCAAATATAAACACGCTAAAGCTCGTACCGTTTCGGGGCACGAATGTGCGAACAGATGAAGGGAGTGACAAGAAATAATGGAGGAGTGAAAAAATCTTAAGTATCCTAAAACTTTCACGTCTCATTAAGCATCTCACTTAAGCAGCACCGCATGGCCGTAGGGAACCGTGGCACTGTCTGGGGATGGAGGAGCTGCCTTTTACGGCAGACTTAGCCTAATTCCCAGCAAAATAACGGATGGATCTGGAGATGTGCTACATTTCCCCTGCTTCAGGCAACAGTCTTATTGGAAAAATAAGTCGGATAAGTGATTGAGAGATGGTAAGGCACCTTGATAAGCTGCTCCCACCGCCAAAAAGTAAAAGGGCAGGCGGGAGGTTGGAGGGGGCTTGCTGGTGGAGGGCACCGCTGCGGTGGCGGGGCCTGGGGGCAACGGCTCCGGTAGAGCATCTCTCCTGTCCCTCTCAGCAGGTCCGCTGGCCCCGCTGCGAATGGAGGCCTCCCCGCGGGGACCGGGGGTAAGTGCCATGCGTGCCAGCGGGCGTGGGCGCCGGGCAGCGGTGTGCCGGGGGGGTGGCCCATGCGCTGAGGACGTGATCCCGGTCCTGACCGTTTTTCCTGGCTGCTGCAGCCAGGAGGCATGGAGCATCCTGCTCGAATCCTCCCCCTCCGGGGCATCAAAACTCATCCTGCCTGTAACGTGCTGGGCAAAATTCCCTGAGCTCTTTTCACGCCCCAGATGTATTTTTAAGGGCAGTTCTGGTTTTTGACAGCCCAGATTTGCTGGGTACTATTGTCCCCGGTACGTGCTGACAGTGACGCATGGTTTCTTCGTGTGGAGCTACTGGGATTTAAGGAGAGCTATGAATACTGAGATCCCTCTTTATGCTTTTTTATATCTCGATGCAGGGATCAATGCACGCAAATATTTTTGATGAAATGAAATGCTTCATAAGACCGCATTAAGCGGTTTGATCTTCCTGCTGTGTTTTCTCATCCCTCCCCTTGCCAGGGAAAGTGCAGCAGCTAAACAGAAAGCAGAGATGCGAACCCTCGAGCAGCCGAGCTGTGCCGAGCGGCGATGCCCGAGCGTGCAGCACCTGAGCTGCCGTAGCAAGGAGGGGGGCTGCGGGCGCTCACCTCGCCGCTCTCCCCTCAGCTGTCGGTGTCCCAGTTGTCGGCCCTGCCGCGGGGCAGGGGCCAGCCGCCGGCGCGGTGCCGCCGTGGCTCTCGGCAGGAGGGGGGGATCACTCACCTGGAGGCTGACCTCGGCTCACCAGACCCGGACCCCAGCGCTGGCGACCAGCTGCGGGCACTGCCCTTCACCCCGCTGCAGGTGCCCATCGCTGCTGTGGGGCTGCAGGCAGGCAGGTGATGCTCGGCCACCCTTCCCCAGGCTCCGGTGTCCCCATCGCCTGGCCTGCTGGTGTCCCCCCGGCTGCTTCTGCATGACTCACCCCTGTTTCTCTGTCAGTTCCCGCACGCTGCTCTCCCGTGCCTCCCTGGCGCGCCTGCACACCGCCGGCTTCCCGGAGATCCTGGACTGCAACCAGGAGCCGGTGGAAATCTCGGAGGTGGCAGACCCGGCGAGTTTCAGCCTGCAGCTGGAAGAAGCCGACCCTCTGCAAGGCAACGAAATAATCCTGCAGTTCCTGGCTTTTAGCAGGTGGGATTGCAGCTCTTCGTGGTGCATTCTGTGGGCAGATCCCAGGGGCCTCCTGTGGGAGAGTCCTTTCCCAAAATCCCCCCCAGCCCACTTCCCTGCTTGAGCGGGAGACGTCCTTGCAAAGGTGCCGCTTCTTCCAGCGCCTGCCGGGGAGGCAAAGCCCGGGAGGGTTTTACAATGATGCTCTTGTCCTTTCTGGGCACTCTTAAATCATGTTCTTTTTTTTGTGTCCATTAGCCACAACGTGACGTAAAAGCTAGTTAATGCAGGGTTTCTCCATAAATGCATATGGAGTGGAGAAAGCTGGCACCCCTGGGGGTGGCTTTGGCTGGATAAGGCCCCACTTGTGTTTTTTCTGTGGATGGCAGTGTACTGTGTGAAGGTAAGATGCTGCCTTTGCTGGGCTCCTCCGTCGCAGCATATGGCAGGAGACAGCTGGAATTATGAAGCTTTTTGGAAAGCCAAGGCAAACCATATGCCCGCTGTCTTCAGAGGGGAGTCCAAATACTTGTGATGCTGCCGATCTTCTCTTGTTCTTCGGCCTCTCAGTGTGTGCCAAACGCATGAGGAGCTCGTGATGGGGAGGCAGTGCCGTGCCACGAGCTAACCCAAACCTCTGTTTCTCCCTCAAGGGATGCCCGGGACAGCGCAGAGGGTACGTGGCCGAGGACGGTCTTCCTCACCTTCCAGTTCTACCGTTTCCCGCCGGTCACCACGCCGCGGCTGCAGCTGGTCAGCACGGATGGGGGGCCGGTGGCCGGGCCGGCTGTGCCGGCGCAGCTCCTTGTCCGGGTGAACAAGGACGGGACCTTTGGCACTGGTAAGCTCCGGTTTTAGCATCCTCGTGCAGCCGCTCCTTTTCGTCAGTCAGATTTGGGCTTGTCTCTGGGCTGAGGCACGGGCTGGTGTCTGCTTTCATAGCAAACCTCTGCTAGTTCGAGTGGCACATCATGCAAAATGTTCAACATGTCCAACATTTGAAGTAAAACACTGGTAAGCGCTGGTTGTCGGATTTGCACGTCGAGGCTGCCGGCTCCCGCTGCAGCTAAGTGCCTTTGAAAAGAAAGGCAACACGTGAGAGAGCAGCGCCCGGAGTGAGCGGCTCTGATCCTCCTAGCTGAATGCTTTTCTTTTGGCTCTTTCTGTGTCTTAGTAAATTCTGGTCCCAAGAGACACCAAGCATGGCTGATGAAGCTCCTTCTCCATGTGGAGCTGTTAATGGAAATGAGAGGGGGGGTCTGTACAGACTGGGTGTTTCTGTGGGAGGGTGTCAATCCTGGGGGACCTTGGACCCTCCTAATTGACCAGTGGGTTCATTAAGTGGAGGAGAGCGGGTGTGCGAGCAGGCAGGCTTCTCCGGAGCAGAAGAGTGTCCCTATCCCAGCTGATGTGCTGGTGCCGGTGGAAGCTTCACTTCCATGATGATGCCGTGTGTCTCGCAGGACCGCCGGGCTTGCAGCTGAAGTACATGGTGGATCCCGCTTTCCTGCAGCCTGGGGAGCAGCGCTGGTTTGTGCGGTACCTGGCCGAGCACAGCCTCCAGCTTGACGTCTGGGATGGAGATTCCCTGCTCCTTGTTGGGTCCGCTGCTGTTAAACTGGAGGTATCGGTTAAACTGGAGGTCTTTCCCCTGAAGCCTTCAGGGCTGCTAACGATGAAGGAGACCCCCTGCTCAGCATGCAGGAGCATTAAGGAAGAGCCTGACTTTCCCTTTGGTCCCGTGTTGGGATGCTGTTGCATTACCCTTGCATCTTTAGTAATTGAGTTGCTGTCAGCCCCTCTGTGTAACCGAGACCAATGTCAGCCTGCCAAGCCCCTAATAGCAGGATTTGTCATCTTCTCCTCAAAAGCGATGGCAAAACATTAACTTTCTTCCAATTCCCTGGAACTCCTGCAGTATTCTAGGGCTAAACCCCCCAGACCTAGGACATCCAGAGACATCCTTACCCAGAGCCCTTAATCCCCCAAGACCGGACTCCCCAGTAACTCGTTACCCTTCGCCTTGTCCCCAGCCCCTGCTGCGCCAGGGCCGGGCGGCCGTCAGGACCCACCACGAGCTGGAGGTGGCCACGACCGAGTACGAGCCGGACGTGACGGTGATGGGCCGGGAAGCGCTGCGGCACGGCGCCCTGCGGCCCCTCGGCATCCGTGTGGCGGTGAGGGGCCGCCTCCACCTCTGCCTGGCCAACGTTGGTAAGAGCCCGCTGTTCACGTGGCCGAAAGGCTTGGGTGCCGGCACTGGCACCTCGCGGCGTGCGCCCCATGCCAGGTATCTCTGGTGCCAGTTGGAACCCCCATCCCAGCGCCAGCCGCTTGACTCTGGGCAACGCTGGGCTGCGGGCAGGGGTGTGTGGCTCCTGGTTGTGCTTGTGGCCCCTTCCGCCTGCTCGGCCGCGAATGCCGGCGCGGGGTGGCTGGGAGGCCGGTGGCGCAGGGTCAGCACCGTGCAGCTAGGTGCTAGCAAACGGCACGGGGCCATGGGAGAAATGCACAGCACGCACAGGGCTGTACCCGAAAGAAAACCATGCTTGTAAGAACATTATTCTTCCCAGAACCTGCTGGTTTTAATTCCTCGTCCTATAAATGTGCAGTGACTCCAGGTTTTAAAAATCTTATCTTCAGAAGAAAGATTAGCTCCATTATAAGATATCTTAAATTGTCGTTTCCGTACTTTGCCTGCAAAGGGACGATAAGCTCCTGGGAAGGAGAATCTGAGATTCACAACCCAGGGAGAGGTTTAACTCGCACCCCGCAAAAGAGAGGGAGAGAGGAAGCAGAGACGCTGCGCCAGGACAGCAACCACCCTTTGACTGTTTGGCTTTTTTCCCTGTCCTCTTTTTTTAAATTTCAAAATACTGTTTTTAAAAACAGTATTGAAAAGCTTGGTGCCCCTGCCTGAAGGATGGGGATGGGATTTGTAGGCTGGGTAGATACCTGGTGGGTTTAGAGCCTTGTCTGGCTCCGCTTGGCTTAACCTTTGCGGGAGCGTGGATGGCAGCAGGAGCAGGGAGACGCGGTGGCACGTGGCTGTGCCGGCGGCAGCGCCGCAGCCCGGGGGTGGGGAACACAGAAATGAAAACTGGAGCTGGTGAGGGGCTCGGGGGTGACTCGCTCGGGATGGCGCTGTGCGTTGTTTGCTGCTCCGTCTCTGGCAGATGGCTTCATGGTGGTAACGGCAACAGGCTCTGGAGGGAGCGCCGCAGGGCTCGCAGGGCATCGTTGGCAACCAGATATTTGCTCCTGCTTTTTAAAATTGTCCGTAAAGAGCTGCAGCGAGGGCAAAAATTTTGCAGTAGATTTTGTAACAATGGAAAACGGATGGTTTCCACTCACCCCTGTTTCCGCTTGTGGCAGGCCACCCGTGCGAGGAGACCCCGGGGCAGGCACCATCTCCGCTGCCGTCCCGCTCCCGCATCGTCCCTGCGCCGGACAGCGCTGGCAGCGGCCTGGCTGGGCGC